CGACGCGTCAACATGAATTGTCTAGGTGGTTTGAACACGCCAAGCACATCTTAAAGTTTTTAGACAAACATGAGATATGACATCGCAGCTGCTGACAACGTGAACAACGTCTAAATACATTTACCGTCTGCCGTCGTAGCCGCGTCAAAAAGATACGTCTAGGTAGTTCAAACACGCTGTAGCACCCCTGCAAGCGATTCAAAAAACAGGTGACATGATATTGCAGCTGCTGACAACGTAGCGAACGTCTGGATGCGTTTGCCGTCGTCGCCGCGTCAAAATGAATTGTCTAGGTGGTTTGAATACGCCACGCACATCTTCAAGTACTTAGACATATATCGCAGCTGCTGACAACGTGAACAACGTCTGAATACATTTACCGTGTCCCGTCGTCACCGTGTCAAAAGGATGCTTTGAGTTAGTTCAAACACGCTGTAGTACCACTGCAAGCGATTAAAAAAAGGTGACATGATATTACAGCTGCTGACAACGTGACGAACGTCTGAATGCATTTGCCGTCGTCGACGCGTCAGCATGAATTGTCTAGGTGGTTTTAACACGCCACGCACATCTTCAATACTTGGACAAACATGAGAGATGACATCGCAGCTGCTGACATCGTGACGAACGTCTGGATGGGCTTGCCGTCGTCGGCGCATAAAAATGATGCGTCCATGTGATTTGAACACGCCAAGCACATCTTCAAGAACTTCGACACACATGACATCTCTACTGATGACAACGTGAACAACGTCTGAATACACTATGCCGTCTGCCGTCGTCACCGCGTCAAAATGATGCATTTAGGTAGTTCAGACAAGCTGCAGCACATCTGTAAGCAATTCAAAAATCATGTGGCGTGACGTCGCAGCTGCTGACAACGTGACGAATGTCTGATTACATTTTCCGTCGTCGTGTCAACATGATGCGTCTAGGTGGTTCAAACACGCTGTAGCACCTCTGCAAGCGCTTTAACAACATGTGACATGATATCGCAGCTGCTGACAACGTGTCAAACGTCTGATTGCATTTACCGTCGTCGTCGTATCAACATGATGCGTCTAGGTAGTTCAAACACGCTGTAGCACCTCTGCAAGCGCTTCAAACAACATGTGACATGACATCGCAGCTGCTTACAACGTGACCAACGACTAAATGCGTTTTCCGTCGTCACCACATTAAAATAGTGTGTCTAGTTTGTTCAAGCACGCCACGTCCTCACCGCGTCTTTCTCAGAGAATGGCGTGATGGCGTTCCGTCTTTGCCGGGCATATCTATGTGGTTTGGTGTAAGCCAGGCCGGTTTAATGTGGTAGTGGATGTGCTTTCGCATCGCCCCAACTATAAATTTTGCATGTCACAATGGGTACGTCGGCAAATTAAGGAGGCGATTGGGTCATACGCAACACATGTGTTGTGCTGCCGAGAGCTTTGGAGAGCAAGGAGCTTGAGAAGGCAGATCACGCTCTATCAAAGCGCGCGGTCGCACGCCTGCACCGATATGTACAGTCCAAGGCTTGTTGTATTTAAGCACCGACCCAAATAACAGTGACGCCTTGTGGCGAGGACCTTAAGTACAGAATATCGTACGAGGCGCATAATATTTATTTGGATGACCACCTCGAAAAAAGGTAGATATAATGTTCGAAGAGCGCTATGGTTTGATGTCTCAACATGTATGAGTGGGTCAGACTATACATGCGCACGTAACCGATTAACCCTCGCCGCATGCGGTGGCACCTTAGGCCTGCCTGCCGGATTTGACAGAGCACTGGCATTCTATCAGTATGAGCTTTTTTTGGCTTCAAAACACGCGACTGGTGCTATCGAAATTTTGGGCTTTAAGGACTGTCCGAGCGAGATGGCTGATCTCGCTGCTGTCAGCGATATTGTGCCCGGAGAGAATACTCCGAAGCTATTCCTCGGCACCATGTTTCGCCAAGATGGATTTCAATAGCCATTATAAAGATGAAACCCGCGCTCTCCACCGAATGTTTGTCAGATTATATCCAAGTGCTGAATATAAATCAAACCATCTTCAAGCAAATGGTCAGACGAAATGCTTGACTTGCGTTGTGCAAGATATCATCCGGAGCATTTGTGTGGAGGAATTGCGTTGTGCAAGATATCATCCGGAGCACTTGTGAGGAGGGATTGCGGTGCTACCACTCAAAGAAGTTCGCGATAAATAAAGCAGTACTTGCCCCTACAGGTCTTGCCCTGCGTTACGTAAATGGTGAACATCCGGATGCCTTTGACACCACCATGAAGTGAGTCAGTCTTAGTAGGGGGCAGTCGATCAAAATTGACTTGTTGATCCATCTCGACAACATATCAGTAAATATATATTAACGAGTCTCTCGTCATACGAAATTCAAACGAGGCTATGTTTGAAAGTCAAGACAAACAAAAGCAGCACGCATAGCAGAAATATGCATAGCACACACGAGTAAATTGTGGGGCAGAAATCTTGACTGGATGCAGTCTACTTACTTACAGAAGCGGTCTCCGCTATTCGGAAAACAAGGTTGCGACTGCGCTTCATCGGGTCGTTGCGAAGAAGATATTCTGAGTACCCCTCTCAAAAATGCAAACACATCTAATGTTCTTTGTGGGCATCCCGAAGCCATATCATAACCCCGCTCTTACGTCCAGTCGAGCGCAAAGACTTTTGTTCCAGGGGAAGCAACAATTTCTGCAGCGTCACTGCACTCCTACGCGATTCGAACACGGGGGGTGCCACATGCTCGGCTGTGCGATAACGAATCTCAGAGAGTGAATCCGAGCTATGACTGACCCCAGCTTCGGACACATGTCGTGACTCTTGAAGAGTCGACGTGCCGCCACAAACAAATGAGCACATGAGAGCCAACCGCAGGAGAATCGGTCTCGATCTCGACTGGCACGGCTCAATTTGCAAATTGTGACCAACTCCATGGTTTGGTGGCCCTCTAGGTAGAAGGCATTGTTCACAATACCTAATAAACTCGAAGCAGGAGCTCGAGATCATGAGGTATCACCTTGACGTCCGCTTTGTGCTCAGACGTTTGCAAACTCAAGAATGACACGACGCTACAGGCAGACTTTCCGATTGATGGAGTTGGCTAGTAAAATTCTAGAATCGGTGAGACGGCCATTTTACTTTATTCAGTGCGCATATAAATAAATAGACTTGGCTGCACTTGTAGCACACAGGTTACATTCATCATGGAGGGTAAGGGTTTTGCAAGCGCTGCTGGTCCAAGCGCCCTGGGGAGTGATGACTTCTAAGCTAAAAAAATCTTCTCATTTTGATGTGAGCGAAAGGCCCGCCCGCATAGACGTGTAGGAGCTTCATACCAGCGCGGTAAGTGACTATGGACGGATTACATTACCACGAAGAGTCGATGTAAATTGTGCGCTTGCAGCTTAGCAAGCTGGGCTTCTTGAGCAAATTTCGCTTCGTCGTGGGTCCCGTGGCGGGGCGTCAAAACACTTACCGTCGTTAGAAATGGGTACGGCATCCGATAAATGTGCATCGTGGTAGCTCTGCGATGTGAGTGCCTACTCCGTTGGAAACGGTTAGCCTGGGTATCCTCACCTACTTTTTAAGAGACACTTGTTGTAAAGACGACCTAATATCTGGATGTTATCTGGACGGCTGTTCGCCTTAAAGGGTTGGGACCCGTCATGTTCATAGTCTAGGAGGCTAGAGAAGGTAGAACAAGAAGAAGGCTTCCAATACATTTCAATTGCTTATTTTTTTTTATGGACTTCCAACAGCACGGCAACTTTGTTGCAGCTCTTCACTACTGACTCTCTGAGCTCTGGGTCAACATTCAGTCTGCTCAGATGCTATCCACCAAATGTTGACACAAGGATTAACGGTGACGTGTGCAACGTTAACCTCTAACAGAAACTATCTTTGTAGTAAAGCTATAAATCGCAGTGGAATTGTCCCATACGCTTTATTGCGTAATGACTCTTGCAAGTACTTTCTTACCTTCCAATTGATAGCGTTAGACGTGGATACCACGTTCCACTTACTATTCAGTTGTCCTACTAATCAAGCTACTGATTGGCTGCTAAATCCTACCAAATCTACTTCCAAGATGAACACACGTATCGTATCAGTTCGCATGTGATGCATGAACCCTTTCAGACATCGTGCACATTAAACTCAATAAGTACATAAATATAGAGCTCCTGCTCACTGCGATCAGTCTGCCCACTTGCAATTCGCAGCTAATCACCCCCCATCCTCAAAACCAAATCGGGAAGCAAGCAAATCAGTGCTAGTCGATGGAGGCTAATAACATCGGCACCAGCGTGCATGTGTTTGACGGCTCGACAGACTTTCGTGTGTGGCGCGCGCGTGTCGAGAATGAGCTGATGCGCTACCACCTGCTGGGCTATGTGATGGTGCGCGGTTACGACGGGAGCCAGTCTTTTACATATAATGGGGAGGTCGTGCCGCCCCGCGTGCCCATGGCCCTCGAGGAAGGCGAGCAACAGCAGCCTTCTTTAAAGGAAGAAGCCCCGTGTGATCGTAACACTACTACCCAGCGCGGACGACTTAGTCGCTGGGATGTTTTGGGCGAAAGTGCCGAAGCTAAAGGAATTTTACAACGTTTCTTACACCCAGACGTGGAGTCTGCAATCTTAAACAAGAATATTTACGACAGCTGGATGATGCTTTGTACTCTGTATGGCAATCGCAGTAGTCCTGGAGCTCACAATGTGTACGAAATGCATCGCGTATTATATCACATTCGACTGGGAGACAAGAAAGAAGAACCTGTTACAGAATTTATCACGCGGTGGGAGATGCTTATGCAGCAATATGCACTAGCAACAGGTATTGAGCTGACAGACGCCTTTCGCTCCATCTCATTGACGCAAACACTTCCAAGTGCGTGGATTCCAATGGTATCGTCGTGGAGAGGAACTCGACCATTTGTGCCTTATGTCGAGCTTGTGGAAAAAGTGGTGGCCATCAAAGAACAGATGCAAGCAAAAGTAGAGACATCGAGTGTTCCGAGCTTGGCATCAGGCAAAACATCCCCTTCCTCAACTAACAACTCGACAGACGCGCAAACATCTCAATTAGTAGTGAAAACAGCAGCTGACATGCTCGCAATTGTAGAGCCAGTAGAACAAGGGATGAAAACGCCGATTACTGAAGATATGTCAGTGGAAAAACAAACTACGACATCCAGTGAAAAGCAGCGCGACGAATTACCTGAACAGTGTGCTGACGAGACAACGAGAAGCTCTGATAATTACGCGAGATCAGGCGATAGAACTTCCCCTTTGAGTGACGTGACTACTGGGACAGGCAATACGCTCGACCTTAGGACAGGAGAAATCAGTACTTCGAAGAGAAAGCGTTCAACCAGTCCTCGCAGCCGCAGCATCAGCAAAAAACGAAGCTCAGATCGAGGAGAGAAGTATTCAGGCTCTCGCTCGTATCGGGATTCTAAGAGAAGTGATAGTGATTACGACAAGCGCCACACTCATGACAGGCACAACTCTGAGAGAGGATACGACAAGTACGCTTCTAGTAGCCGCTATGACAGGTCTTCGCGCAACTCACGCAGTCGATATTCTTCAAAATTTGACAGTTTTGAACGTATCGACAGTAATGGCCCTGTCTCGTGCTTCTATTGCCTTAAACTTGGTCATCACATGAAGAATTGCTGGTATTTAAAGGCAGACATCGAGAGCGGGACGACTCACGAGTCGCACAAGAAATATACTTGCGCTGTGACACTTGAAAGAAACGAGTTTATGGTTTGTTGTCTTGAAGCATACATTGATGAGGTCAATCGGGAGCGGGCGGCACGCCGGGCATCCAAGTCAACAGCAAACACGTCGCGTCGCAGTGGCTATGAAATTGCTGAAAGCGCTGAACGCAAATACCGCCCACAGCAGCAGGAGCTCGCACTGCCGCCACCTCCTGGTCAACCACCAATTTTTGCGTTTCGAGATCAGCAACAGTCGTCTAGTAGTACAACCGCAGCCGATTTCCACAAACGCTCACGCAGCGTGTTTCAATCGGCTGAAGGCCGTATTTCGTCGCGTGATCCACGTCTCAATCGCTCGAATAGTGTCTATCGTTCCACTGATGTCACAGAGGAGTTTTCGTCGCGAAAACGTGGTCGCACTCCATCGTTTGAGAGGCAACTACGAGCTTATTACTAAGTGGAATTAGCTCAAGATTACTTTTTTAATTGGTGAATACATTTCGTACTTATCTGTAAGCATTCATATCTGTCAAGGTCTACTAGGAAGGGGGTTGTCACTTAGGGCAGAAGAAGAAGCTACGAGTAGCACGATTCAATCTCGTCAGATAAAATCTCTTGGGTAACAATATAGCAAGGAGAAATCTGCGTCAGTTGGCTGACATTGTGCAGCTATGAAGAAGACAGCGTTGTGGAGGTAAGAGATCAGAACTAGGTACCGTATGGTACTATTTTTTGGGCTGGTGCGCACATTTTTTCGCCACGTGGTTACATAAGTCTAGTACTCACTCGTGCTAACGACTTCTGACTCGTCGTTGCTGTTATAATGGTCTTCAGAAACAACAGCACTACGCTGTCCAATGGTGATAACAGTAGCAATAGCACGTCAACGACTACAACTACAACTACAACTACATCAACAAGTAGTACGAAGTCAGCCAAAGCATCGACTACAAGTCGTACTTCGTCTGGTGCTACATCACTTAATAGTAATCGAGGGAGTCAAGGCAGTCGACGTAGTGCAGGAAGCACTTCACCGGAAGGCGACAAGCTCCCGCCTGGATGGACGCGCAAGGAAAGCAAGTCTCAAAAAGGTCGCTACTATTTCATCTCCCCTGCCGGAAAGACACAATGGGTTCCTCCCGTAACAAAAACTTCGAGCGGTAAGATTAAAAAGGTATTTAATTGGGTGAACGAGGTGGAGATTTGCTTCCAGGAAGGACGACTTGGCGTTAGTTTGCGAGAAGTCCATCAGATGGAGACTATTTTGTACTCGCAGTTCCAGGCAGAAGTGGACGATTTGCCAAAAATAAATGGTAAAGCTGGACCCGCAGAGCTTCATAACTGGAGCGTTAAACCTCACAAACGATTAACAATTGGCATGCGCGTTATCAGCATTGAAGACGTGTCACTGGCTGGGCTTACGTATAAAGAGGTTGTATCAAAGCTGAAACACGCATCTCGACCTGTCCGCATTAAATTCGCAGATGTACAGAAGGGCACAGTGGAGGAAAATGGCGGTCGCAAGTCTGATGGTGAAAAAGTGAATAAGGCGGCTGCTAACAACTCACTTAATACAGGATATGGAAACTCTAGTGCTTACATGCAGCAGAAGCAAGAGTATACGCGTGTGCTTGTGACGGGAGAGCTGCATACCGAGATGTGGACGATCGAAAACAAGAAGCTGTTAAGATCAATATCACGCATGCAGCACAAATGGAGTACAGTGTCGAGTGAATTTGATATCTTGAATGCGAAGCGAATGGAGTTGCGAAAAGAATACGAGAGCCTGAAAAAGGACAAGGAAAAATACCAAACAATGATGAAAAATCTTAAGTTGCAGGAAACTGACGCCATGGAAAATCCAGAACTTGTAAAGGCAAACGAATTGACCCAGCGAAATACCGAACTAAACGATGACATTTCAAAAATGGGGGCTGGCAACAAGCGACTTCGGAAAGAAAGAGACACATTGCAGGCTCAACTCGAGGATTTAGAAAAGCAGCTGGCAAAAGTAGAGCAGACGGACAAGGGTGAAGACGAAGATCGCGCGACAGAAGAAGATATTTTTAATATTGAACCTACGGCGTCGCCGAAGGAACAATTGTCAGCACTGAAGAAAAAGAGGCGTGGACTGGAAGACGAATTGAATAAAGAGCAGCTGAAAGCGAATAAGATCCAGAAGGAGATTGAGCAGCTTACAAAACACTATGCTAGTTTGAGTAAAGAGGAATCGGGCGTGGGTTTACCTACTTCTTTGTCATCTACGTCACATCAAGCGCATGATAATGAGCCGAGTTCGGGTGGGCACCAAGCAAAGACGAGTAACAGTATCGGTTCCAGCAAGCCGAAATCTGAGTTTGCTGAGCTTGAGGCCAAGATACTGGAGCTGCGAAAGAAGCAACGCGCTGTGGTAGATACGCTTTCCAAAGCAGCCCAGGCTGGTGATCAAAAACTTGCGAAAGAGTGTCAGCGAAAGCGTAAAAAAATCAAACACGAGCTTAAGGAAGCGCAGGATGAACTTCACAGGATCAAAACCAAAGGCAAGTCAGGGTCGCCATCATCACGGACTGACTCTTCTGTCAACGAGAAAGCATCAGACGAAAAGATCACGCACTCAAGTCGTCAAACCCCGTCGTCATCTACGAAGAAGTCACGGCAAGACAACTCAAGTCTGTCATCTAATGAAGCGAAAAGCGTGGATACTGCCGCAACTTCTGGCAGTTCACGTGGAAAGCTACCAACATTGAGTGGCTTTTTAGATAAAGGCCCTACAGAATGGGCTGACCGCGGCATCATTAGCGGTATGAAGGCCATGCGGGGCTCACGGGAGCGGTGGTGTATCATCACCCCCGATGGATATCTTAAGTACTACAAGCGGCGTGGTGACTCAGTCGCACGTGGAGAGATTCATTTGGCTGACAAAAGCTTCGAGGTTGTTTGCGAGGACCTCCGACACGGCAAGGAGTTTGTGCTGAGTACAGATGAGCAGCAATCACATTTCTTTACCAAAAGTTCGCAGGAGCTAAACAATTGGGTGAAAACTTTGCGTGCTGCAAACGCCTATTTACTTAAGTCAGCTGCGCCGCCGCTACCACCAGTTCGGTCTCGAGGCGACAAGGATAAATTGACTCACACCGACAAGCAAATCGAAGAATTCAATCTTGACGGGCTAGTAGATGCTTTACCCGAAGATGATGAGCAGTTTTATGGGCGTGCTACACTTGGATTCTAGTGGTGCCTTTCACTTAATGTAATAACTGGTTGTTTTTCTTTATTTTTGAACACATAAATCTGACACTTGATCCTTAAACGTGCTTCACTCCAGGCGCTTGGGGTCCCGCTACGTCAACATGTAAACATGTAAACTACCTTCTAGAAATAGAGAATCTCGCAAGTATTATTTCTAATACATGCAGCCAACCCTCATTGCAAGATACAAGGAATTAAGCAATGCTGTCTAAAGTACAAAGTACTTATTGCGCTCGTCCTCCGACGTCGCAGCTCCACCTCGATTTTCATTTTGAGTCGGATACCAAGGATTCCCACCTTCCGCAGCGTTATTTCCTGCGTCGTCGCTCGTCTTGCGACTTCGGTGAGAGTTACGATTCCCATAGCGGTACCATGAAGTTGTGCCTGCAGAACGATTCCCATCGCCAGCGTCGTGAACCACACGCGAGCTCAAATTCTTTGTAAACTGCTGCAAAGCTAGCGCACTATCTTGCATCTGCGTTGGCTCATCCCCATTAGCACCAATTGTGTCAGCGTTTCTGCGTTGCACTATACCACGACGACGGCTCTTTGCCATCGAGACCATATGCGACATCTCCAGAGGAACATCATCTTCCTCCTCTTCCGGCTTCTCCACTTTGTGAACCATTTCGAAAAAGAGTCCACCTTTTTGAACAAGCGCTTCGTAACGACCCTCTTCTGCTACACGTCCTGCGTTTAAAACCAAAATTTGGTCCGCATTAAGGGCTGTCGACAAGCGATGCGTGACAGAAATGATGGTCATGTTCATCTTGTCCGAAAGACGCTCTAGAGTTGCCACAATTGACGCCTCAGTCTCAGGGTCTAAGGCACTGGTAGCTTCATCAAGCAACAACAAGCTTGGGCGCCGACAAAGGGCACGCGCTAAGCATATACGCTGCGCCTGACCACCACTGAGATTGCACGTAGCGTGCTGACCCACTACTGTTTCGAAGCTATCCTTGAGATTTTTAATAAAATGACACTCGGCTAAACGTGCAGCTTCCTCACAATCAGCATTCGAAGCGCTGATATTACCGTAGCGAATATTGTCGTAAATCGTGCCGTTCAATATACCACCATCTTGGAAAACGACAGCCGTTTGGTCCATAAACGATTTTTTGGAAAAGTTAAATATGTCATGACCATCAAGACGAATGCAGCCACCATCGGCTTCCTGGAACTGCATAAGACATGCCAGCAGCGTACTCTTACCACAACCAGACGGTCCTACAACGCAAGTGTATGATCCACGGGGAATAGTAGCTGTCAACTCGTTGAGGATGTAGTTCTCTGATGACTTGTCATACTTAAATGCAAGCTCTTCAATCCGAAGATCGCGAGTCATCTTAGGAAGTGGTGGCATGTCCTTATCCCCATCGTTTTTGCTACTACTGCTCGAGCCAAGTCCGACAATAATATCATCGACACGTTGCAGACTGCTTGCGTTGCCAATAGCTACACGCATAAACCCACCCAAAACTGTCACAGGGTTTGAAACACGACTCAGCAACGTGATGAAACCAAAGAATTCACCAGAAGACAGCTCTTTGTGCCACACTTTCATCGCCAACGAGGCTGTCATTATGGCTATAAAAATGTACATGGCCGACTCAATGTATATCTGCACGATACTTGACCAAAAGTCCTTCGAGAACTGGCTTTTTCGCAACAAACCACATGTCTTTTTAAAACGCGTAATAAGCGGATCTTGGATTGCGTACGCTCGAACAACTTTCTCGCAGCCAACTGCATTTTGGAACTCAGCCGCAACGTAAGCATTCCTCGAGCCAAACTCTTTCGAGCGCTGAGCAGCAAAACCCTGTGGACCACTAGATAAAAGCATAGCAGTAAACGCAAACGACATAACACCAATACTGGCATCCATATACAAAGCGTATCCAAATCCAAAAACCACAGCCAGCAGCGGATTCAACAAATTCCAAAAGACAGCCTGCCACAATGCATTTACACGCGCCACATCACTCGAAAAAAGATTATTCAAATCACCTTCCGAGCGCTCAGCAAAGAATTGAGTATCTTGACGCAAAATAATGTTTAGTAGTGCTGCTTGCATCGACTCCGTAGCCTTTGAAATCATCTTAGACTGAAAGTAGCCAACCGCATAGTCGCCAAGTACGAACGGCACACAGAGTGCCAACACGCCCATAACTCCAAGTCTAAGTGTCGCTTCATTCGGATTGCCCGAGTCCAACGTGTCAAAAGCATCCGATAACTTGGCTAGGAAAATAGCCAAAGCAGGACTGACTGACGCATTAATGCACACGACGAAGAAGCAGAAAATGAGGTCTGCCATCTGTGTCGACCAGTGCCATAACGTACTGCGAACCACATCCGTAGTACCATATGCCAATGTCGATGATGACGCGTCAATATCACGCAAATGTGACAAGAATTCGGTGGCCGAGAGTGTTGGTGGACGATAATGTAGTGCTCGTTCTAAGAAGTTCATGAGCTCGTCGCGAGTCATATCGCCTTCATCACGACCACAAATGATTACAAGGTCCGTCTCCATCATTTCAATGGACATGGCCGAGATACCAGGGATACGAGCGAGTGATGCACGAAGCGACTCAATACTGATTCGGATATGGTCCCCATTGGTACGAAATTTGTGCAGTTTCTTACTGAAGATTCGTGCTCTGGGCTTAAGAATGAGTCGACAAGCCACGATAGTCAAATAGCCGAGACAAAGCCAATATTCTCGCTCATCCATAACGAACCTTGACCCGAGCAGAAAAACCATAGCCACGAGACAAAGCAAGTCGGCGATATTCGAGTGGGACCGAAAGAGAGCAAGACGAAGACCCAACACACGAATACTCATGTCAATAAAGTAGCAGAGCATCAGTCCTGACGAAAAGAGACGCGAGGCCTTTGCCGTCACTTCGTCATGGAATGTGGCCTTTTGCGTAAACGAAATTGCCAAGACCTGCACAAAAAAGTCGAGAAAAAGCGCAAATGTCTCCGAGTAATGCCATTTACGCGAGTCGATTACTCGAAGATAGAACAAACGGTGGCCATTACCAGGCACACTGCTCGCACCTTTGATGGTGCGAGGGTCGGACGAGTCTGGTAAAGGGCCGCCAATCTTGACAAAGCCGCTGCTGCTATCAGGCGGTACACGCTCAAAATCTGTGGCTTCGCTGCTACTCATTTCCAAGACAGAGTGGTCAGCAATGGACTCGAACCCTGCGGCCTTGGGGTGCATGCACAAAGAAGACGAAAGAAATAGTTAGAGCCGACCGAACCAAGTTCTTTCGCCTATGTTTTGTATGGGAACTGACTTGGCGAAGCTGACGGGTAATTAACGAACTAATTAATCGCGAATTGTCTTAAAACGAAGGAGGGAAGGGGCGCCATACCCACATGTTTTGCAACGTCAGACTGGATATCACGGTTTAACGTTGTGCAGATTGAATTTATAGTAGTTAAGTGAGAAGATCATTTCTCCTCAAATTTACTGTACGGAATCATCGAATTTCCTTCTTCGTCTGGAGGGTGAAAGTATAGAAAACATTTTTCTCAATGAATCACCACAGTATAATAGCTCAAGATGTGCTGTATTAGTATATCTTACCAGCTGTTTAAAGGTAGGAATGACTGCCGCCACACTCTGCGTAACAATTGAATGAATGAACGCTCGATCAATGCAATATTCAAAGCGACTGTATATTGTATGCTTTATTAAAATACTTATATGTCGAAGGACATTTGAACCGCTACCAAAATTATGATTAAATGGTACAATCTTGACACCATTTAATCAGTAAGGCCATGATGTACATGGCCTTTTGAAATGATTACAAGCAGCCAACAATCCCTGAACTTCGGTGGGGTAGAAATATGCGATAGACTGCATTTTGAGGACAAATTTATTCGACTTAGACTCCTTCAAGTATTTAATTCAAAACTCATTTTTAAATTTGAACCTCAACCTTTTCAGCCTTATCGCCAGATTAAAACTTGAAGTGCATAAAATAAATGCAGTCGAAAGGCTAGATAAAAAGATACATGTCGGGGGTCTGGACACCACTTCAAAATAAGTGAGTGGCCACCAATCGTTCAACTGAAGAAGTGATCAGTGGTCATACGGTTTCCAAGACCGCCAATACTGAAAGCAATCAGCGTTAGAGGTCTCTAACGTCAATGCACGCCCTTTCATCGATGTGGATGGCGCTAACAGAGGACAAATTCATCAAAGGTATTACTGTGATGTGATTGAAGATCAAAATTTCCATCGCGTGATACGAGTAGTACTATCACTTGAAATCTCACAAAGGCATGAGAGGAAATAATCCAGAGCTGCACAATTTTATATTAGAAGTGACATAATTCATGATGCAATTCGAACAGAGCATACGACAAAAGTCTGGTCGAATTTAGTAGCACGCTGGAAGGCTACCGATCGAACCGATAATCAGGTAGAAGGAGCTGATGTAGGCTACAGAGCCTTTATTTCTTTATAAAAGCACACGTTTAGGCAATTTTACCTTCTGGCTCGGTGCACTTTCAATCACTTTGAAAATGCAGGACATGTCAGTTCGAATGATTAATCATTGATGAGACAGTAACAAATTATGCGGTCAGTGTTTTTAGACAAAGTGTATCGTGTATCATCATTGCTTATTTAACTTAGGTCTGCCACCACATTTCTGACTTGAGTTTTTACACTCCTCTGCTGTTTAATCGGGGCGAAATGGCAAAGTACGGTGCTATTGAAGTCGCAGTAGGTTCAGCGATTGATCAGCGGACCGGGATCGCAACGACATACATTTAGACCTTGTAATATACATCTGTCGTTTATCTTCCATATGATCTTCGTCAGTTGTTATCGCGCTTGAAGCAATCCCTAGCAATATGACCTGTCAATGATTTTACGGAGTTTGCTTTAAGCTTAATGAGACCCATACTGCACATGGACTTTGTTTTTTCGAGCTGATTTACGTGCTGAAAAATATTCGCGTACAAAGTGTCATTAGTAAGCTGTCCGTCAAAAGTACTTCTACGAAACGCATTAACAAAACCAAACATCGCATAAAAAATCGTTTTTTTTATTAGATTTTCAAGACAAATGTATGATAATTTATTGAAAGCGTCCGTTATTTTTGCAACCGGGTTGTTGTTGTACATCTTCCACAAAGAAAGCTTTGACTCATCGACATTACACAAATGTTAAATTTCTGTATTATTGTGAATATTCAAAAGTACCAAACTTTCGATCTCAGTAAAAAAGATTCCGTGGATGTTAGCCGTGTCAGTCATAAGATATATATTTGGTCTCGTCCAAATCAGATGAATCTTAAAATATGTACTCTTGCAATAGCAAAGCAAACTATCAATGTCAGTCTCCTAAGAGGCTCTCGGTTTCGCTCCTCGTAGGAGAGTACGAGTCCAGCATCAATGCGTTTGTGAATGCGGACTCTGAGACTCTTGGCAAAATGCACGGCAATCTTGCTGCACTTGGTATCACATATAATCAGCTCCACGACCCACCTGGTGCAGGTACACCAGCTTAAGCCACGATGGATCCGCTTGAGGAAGCGTCTTTAGGCCACCGACCTTTCGTTCTTTACAAGAATTGAGTACTAGTGCAGCGGATCGCAATCCGCTGCCTCTCAAAGTACTCAAAGCCTTAACCAAGGCAAACGAACACTTCTGCTCAAAATCGAAATTGATTTTTATTTATATTTTTATCCTAATGTTAAAAGTTTAGATTTTCCTAAATATACTAAATATATATAGTAAAATCTAAACACATGCATAATT